TTGAGATGAGCCGCCGCCAACGTGTCTACGCAAGTAGCGTCTTACATTAGGGTTTTACCTCTCTCCCAAAGGACCAAAGTCATACTGTCGAGTCTATTGCCATCGTCTCTAAATATCCCGCAAGTCTCTAAAAACCGAGGGAACATTTATGGAAACAAGAGCCCTTGGGATGACTTCGTTCAAACAACCTTGACGAGAAAACCTACTTGCACTTTTCTTACATGAAAGTCCGTGGAGCCCAAGCTCGTCGACGCTGCTACCAGGGGCACTGGTGAGGTTGACAAATTGCCGCTCCTAGACGGATTCCTACGACGATGCGTAAGCTTTCTTCATCAAGCAATTTGCCGAGATTACTTGATGGTACAGCGCGTAACCAGTGACTAGATTCCTTAGTCGAAACAGCTAGAAGACGAGCCTAATCTTGGTTACTGTGGAAATTATAAAACAAATGTTTCTGTACACCGTACCAACGGAATATCCCACTGTTTTTGTTGGTTAACTTACAGTGCGACATTTTCTCCGGTAAAAAGTGTTATATTTGTGCCATATTTGCCTTGCCTCCGCAGTAAAGCATAGATGTACTTTATTATTTAAGAGTATGTTACATAAGTCATCGACACTGCACGGCAACACGGAAAGCAGGTGATGCTACGCTAGAAAGATTTCTTACACCAATACCACCAAAATTTATAGGTAAAATAGCTTGATTCCAGGTTGTATTCAAAGTCAAATTTAGAATTATTTCAAAAGCTATTTTAAGTATATTATCATTATTATCTTCTAAAATATCATAAATATAAATACAAGTAAACGAGAGAAGTAAGAGAAATGTGGTTGTTTATATCTTAAATATACAATTTTTCAACGCGGTTTAAAAATTGATCAAATTTTGTTTTTAAAACAGGTTTAATACTATCGAAAAAGAACGGAGCACCTACTAGCAGGTATAGCGATTCAGCATTGACAGTTTTTTTTTCCTGGAAAAGTATGATTCAAATTTAAAATTAAAGTATCTTTGTTAGAACTAGTTAATTTTTGAAAAATATGAGTAAGATCACTGAGGACGTCATCTGCTTTACCTCCCAGTGTACCGTCGTCCCTGGTACCGGACATTCAGCTTGGATTTCAAATTTCAAATAATAGGTTGAAATTTTGAATTAAGGTATCTCTGTTAGAACTAGATAAAATTTCAAAAAATATGAGTAAGATCATTGAGGACGTCAGCTTACCTCCCAGTATACCGTCGTCCAGGTACGAGACATTCAGCTTGGATTTGAATTGAATTCCCAAAACTGAAAAGAGCTGGACCTAGTGGGTTTCCCTGCTGAACACCGACAGCACAATTAATAATATTGTTTTCATTAAACAAGTTTGAATTTCTACTGTAACATTGCCAAACGTAATGATACATTTCGGGGGTATTGTTAGCCACTACTTTTAGCTGGGTTACCCTATTGATAGAGTTACAAGCATTCCTAAGGATAAAAGGGTTAAAAGCAATTCACAAGAACATCTGCATTTATATTTGTTAAAAAGGTACGCACTGAATGTATCGCCGCCTCAATCAAGTAAGTGCCAAAGCCTAGTTGAATATGCTGAAATGTTGTCTTAAGGTTAGAAATTACGTGCCTGCAAGCTAATTTTGAAGTTATGCGTCGAATGTGGAACCAACGGCAATAAAATGGACACCGTTATCCTTTTTTTGAAGGCACACAATCTTGCCTTATATAAGTAGGGAATGAATTGATACATTACCAGAAATTATAAAATTACATAATTTTGTACTGTTACCGTTTAGAAGTGCTCTACCGGCGTCGCAGAACATGACTGACGTGCTTATTAGATCTTTGAGATGTTAAGGTGTAATCCCGTCAATGCCGCCAGCAAAGCCATTCGAAAATGACAAGATTGCGTCTAAAGTGTCTTTTTCAAAAAAAATTTAAAGGTTGCATAGAAGTATTGGAACGCAGTGGTAAATTCCGAGAAGGATTAACCGAAGGATTCTTCTCACGACGGCCTTCAAGAGTTTCAATATTACGAGGAGCCAGGGTGTCGTCTGAGAATAGAATACGGGGTGCATTTTTGAGTCGTCATCCATTACTTTCTATTCAACTAATTTTTTAAATCAAATTTAGGACCAGGTCGAAATAAATAAGTATTGGGTAATGTAAATTTTGAAAAGATCTCTTTTAGTTGAGACGTAATTGATTTATTTATTGTTTTAAAAATTAAAAATGGGAATACGCGAAAGTAAATAATTATTGCCAACTCTTCACAATTAATAAAACAATTTTTAATAGTGCATGACAACGCTTTAGCAAGTTGCGTCCTCGTACCTCTGAGAATTATTTTAACCACTGGTACATTACTATGATAGTTGTGCAATTGTTCCGAAAAAGTGAAAAATTTGTATCATTATTACTAACAGAGTTATGAATTTCTACGGTAGGCTGTGAAGCCGAAATACTTTTAATATGGCATCGTTTAATATGTATATTTAATCCCCGTTTACCTTTGAACAGCCTACCTTCAATACAATTTTGACAATTTACTATTTATTTATTACATTTTAAATTTATTTTCCTGTATTACTGGAAGATATTTCAATAAATAATAGAATAAATAGTCAATCTATTTATTTATTACATTTTTAATAGATTTTCCTATATTACATACTGGAAGATATTTATATATATATCATAGAATAAGTAGTAGTACTCTTGTACAAACTCAGTTTTTATTATTTCTGTCTTGTTGTATATAGGTACACAAAAATTAAAAAAGAGTGCGCAAGCGGATCCACAAAAAAGAATTATAATTTTTTTCAATAAAACTAAATTTACGGATTCTATCGCGTTCAGCACCCATGGTCACGGACATGGGACTGCAGACTTCCCGGAGCGAGCGTTCTGCAGTCTGTGAACATGTTCAAGATCGTCCCCACCATTACATCAGATTTGATAAACTACAAATCCTCGCAAAAGAACACCGATTCCTACCAAGGATGATACGTGAGGCTATTGAAATTAAAAAACATCCTAATTTCAATAGAGAAGATGGTTGGGTGCTGCTTGGGATCCTATAATTAAAAATTAAACCCAAACCCAAGCATACCACTGCAAGACTTCAAGATACTGTAAGCTCGTTTTGCGTAAATCGGACCAAAAATTAATATTCAAAAACTGAAGGTTTCCGAGCTAACAATGGCATTGGGACGTCAAACATCTCAGTCCCCCCCCCGTGACCATGGGTGCTGTAAAGCACCCGAAACGTCGGGAATTAAAAATAAGTAAAAGTAATTAATTAAACGCGATAGCATCCGTAAATTTAGTTTTATTCAATGTGTAGTGTTCGCGTAAATTTAAGAAATCATTATAATTTTTTTTTAATTTAGCAAATAAATTAAACCTTGGCTTCTAAACTAGTTGTAAAAACTGTATAACATACAACGTACACAAAAAATAACTTAAAATTGAAAATTGAAGTTTGGTTAGGTATTCTGGGGTAATGGCGTGTTTTGATTGTTTTTGTAATTTTGTTCTTCTTTACATCGGCCCGTAAAAGACCACTACTGGACATGAGCAGTACGAGACGTCTTGCACTGTTAACGCAGCTGCCTATTTTCGGTCTTGGTATTTTACGCCTGTCGTAAACGAGACGGTAATACTGCCGTCTATTGGAAGCCATTAAACTTTTTAGTCAGTTCCCGTAGTCACCTTTACGACACGGTACGAATGAGTGTGATAATTTATTTATTTAATGAAAGTAAAGAGCCTAAGCAATTCTTCGCATTTTTTATTCAAGTGTTGCTTAGATTGTTATTTGCATAACTATGTCCAATTAACTACGTGGCCTTTGCGACGAGTTTAGCGGAGTTGAATATTTTCTTAAAGACATAGAAACGCATATCAACATCTGTTTCCATGTTTAACTGGGTAACTATCAATATATTTAAAATGATTTCTTAATAATAAATCTTTTCTTATATCGGCATAGAAACACTTTGTTTCCTTGTTAAACTTGTTAACTGTCTAAACATTATTGATAAGAAAATTATTTTATATCTTATATTATATCGGCTTTGATAATAATTTAGTGTTAATATTTTTTATATTTTGTATTACGTTTAGACATTATATGTATGTCCAATTGCATCAACTCATGTCATGGCTCAGCGATCAGGCTGCTATTATAGGCCTTGGATTCTTTGGCCTAGCCAAAGCTAATAATATTATTTGCGTAAATAGTTAAGAAATCTTACGACCTTATTATAAAAATTAGTTTATATTTTAGTCTCTCAGCTTTATACTAGAATATGTTTCACGAAAGTAGTCCCACTCAAAATAAGCACTAACCGGCGTGTAGTAGCGGTGTAATGGGGAGGCAGAGGGAACCTGGAACAGGAGATGGCAGCAGCATCTTCCTAAAAACTGCAGTTGCCGCTTGCTAAGCGTGGCAACTATGGTAACATTCCCTCTTCGAAGCATTATATGGAGGGGGCCTATGTTCAGAAGTGGACTATTATAGGATATGATGGATGGATGGATAGAATTAAAATGTAAAGTATGAATTGAATAAAACTAAATTTACGAATTCTATCGCGTTTAATTAACTACTTTTACTTATTTTATTAATAACCGACGTTTCGGGTGCATTACAGCACCCAAGGTTTCGGGGTGACTGAGATGTTTGACGTCCCAATGTCATTGTTAGCCTGGCTGGAATGGCTGGAAATTCGGATTCGCATGAACCAAATAGATAAATAGACACTTTTGGCACACTAGAGGCTATATTACTAGGACTATTAGCTTTGGGAAGGATTGCAACCCTAGGATCCAAATATTCAACATAAGGTCGCAGAGCACAAAGTCATTTTATGTTTACTTTTATCTAAGTATACTTAACGAAGCAATGGAGGTAACAAGTCTATGAAAAAATTTTCAAAAATTACCGTTTAATTATGTACCAAGTTATTAATATTAGCTTTCTCTTCTTTTCAGGATGCATGTCATCGCTCTGCGTGTTCGTGCTATACACCAAGCACCTAATCATAGTTTACCTGTACCTCATCTCTCTAGGGATAGTGTTCGTGTCCTACTGGACCAACGTGTCGGCGATCAAGCAGATTCAAGCACTAACCCTAGCTGCCTCATCCCCACATCCCTCCCCAAGCATACTCGAAGACATTCTTAATTTAAATTTAAAAAATTTACTCGATCTCGATGGCCCCGGCGTTCTAGTCATACAAAATTTTATTATACAGTTTGGCTTAGCATTCCTCTTTAAAAATGTCCACCTCGGACCTCGCAATCAGACTGTACAGAAGCTATTGCCTATTAGTTTTATGGCACCATCGTTCCTGGCGATGTTACCGGTTCCGCCAAATCTTTTGCATCATTCCCCGGTCTTCTCTTCGCTGTTGCCACTCTTTCTTGTCAAATATGTCCTCTGGACTTCAGCTTATGCGATTGTGCAAGTTATCTACACTGGCTACCAGCACGGCAGGCTCTTCATAAGTAATTACGGTCTATCTGCATTAGTCGAGACCGAGTGGATGCGTTTGAACGTACCATGTGTTTTGAGGGTATTTTGGGTGTTAAGAGTGGCGGAACATGCGATTCTGCTCCTGATGGACAACTACGACGATGATAATGAAGAGGTATTAAAGGTTTCCACTCTACTAGCCGTTCAGTCTCTAGCCTCAATGGCAAAATCGTTGCTAGTAACAGGATGTGAGACCATAACTGCTGTTCTCGGGATGACTTCGGTCATATCTTTCTTCTGTCACTACATCGGCAATTTCTTCCAATGGATCCTAATGACAGACGAGGAAGAAGACAAAAGCATAGGTACGGTTTCCGCTATACTATTTTATATACTGGCATTGCAGACTGGTTTGACTTCACTGAACCCTGAGAAAAGATTTATTCGACTATGCAGAAATTTTTGCTTGCTGTTCACAGCTCTGCTACACTTTTTGCACAACATCGTCAATCCTATGTTGATGTCTCTGAGTGCGTCACACAATCCTAGTACCCATCGGCATGTCCGCGCGTTAGGAGTCTGTGCATTTCTTATTATATTTCCAATTTCCCTACTTGTGTATCTGTGGTCCCAGCATTCCATATCTACTTGGCTGTTAGCTGTTAGCGCTTTCAGCATAGAAGTTATTGTTAAAGTCGTTGTCAGCCTCATGATCTACTCCTTGTTCCTCATAGATGCTTACAGAAGCACATTCTGGGAACAATTGGACGATTACGTATACTACATTCGTGCTTTCGGTAATACCATTGAGTTCTGTTTCGGCATTTTTCTCTTCTTCAACGGAGCTTGGATTTTGTTATTTGAGTCGGGCGGCGCAATCAGGGCTATGATGATGTGCATTCACGCTTACTTTAACATTTGGTGTGAAGCTAGAGCCGGTTGGTCAGTTTTCATGAAAAGAAGGACGGCCGTGAACAAAATTAACTCCTTGCGAGAAGCTTCCTCTGACCAGTTAAATCGTTTGGATGACGTTTGCGCGATATGCTACCAAGAAATGCATTCCGCCAAAATTACGCGCTGCAACCACTTCTTCCACGGCGTCTGCCTCAGGAAATGGCTCTATGTCCAAGATAGGTGTCCTCTGTGCCACGATATTTTATATAAAATAGACAACGACCCCAATAAAGATAACAACTCCGAAGCCGGCAACGAAGAAAACAGTAACAATCAGAACCTACTCTTAGAAGAGGAGCCAGATTTGTTTCTAGGCGACGGTGTGAGGTGACTGATAGAAGAAGACTTACAAAATTTAGACTAAAACAATATAATTATTTTTAGAGTCCGAGTTTTATCAGTGGTAATTTTAATTTTGTATAGTAAGTTATTTGTTTTTTTAGTTATTATTATTAAAAATCAGTTTGATTCCTGTGATTTAAGGTATAAATTTTGTCTTGTGACGAGTGGGTACTTTCACTGTGTGACGTTAGTCTTAAGTTATCAGTCTCGCTTAGTCCTGTCAATGCCGTTACTGTTTCTATGAATGTTACATGTTTTGTAATAAAAAAATCGCTAGTGCATTACCTGCCTAAGCTATAACTAAAACACAGTTAAACTCAAAGCTATTTGTAAATAGTTTAGAAATAGCTTTTAATATTTTTGAAACTAACGTGATATGGAAAAAAAAGCTATAAAAATGGTAATTTTTCTCAATAAACTGTAAATATACTATTATTTTAGTAGTATTTTTTGTTTTCTTACAGAATCCATCAAACAAACGCATAATTCTATCATAAAACACCATGTTTTGCTTGTTCCGATATTTAGAGAATTCATACCATCCCGTTAACAAAACCATCCCATCGGGGCGTGGGTTGGCACTCTTTGCGGTTTTCTATCTAGCACTTCCAAAATAGAACAAAATATGCTTATAATACTTACGGGACTTTATTTTGCTAAAATGTTCTATTACATTATCAAACTTTATTTTTGTTCTTTTTTGATAGATAAAATGGAAAGATTGGTTAGTCGCGCTTGGCTCGTTGAGGACCATAATAGTCCAAGAGCTGGTGACAAAAAATCGGCAAGGGTTTTGTAATGGCCCATAATTCAATATGAATTAGTATTTAGGGTATATAACTACCTCGTTGGTCTAGTGGTTGTAGTAGTGCGACTGCTGATCATGAGGTCCTGGGTTCGAATCCCGGGTCGAGCCAAAAAATTAATTATTTTTTCCGTCAAGAAATTCTCAGTAGTTGCCCGGAGTCAGGAAGTTGGCGGTGTCTCACCCCCCGTGCCTCGGAAAGCAGATAAAGCCGTTGGTCCTGCGCCTGATCTCTCTCCGGTCGTGTCGGTTTACCGTCCCATCGGATTATGTGAGTGAGAGAATAGAGTGCACCAGTGCTTGCGCATACACTTGGGCACTATAATCCTGTCCTGCGCCGATGGCTAGCCTCCGTTGAGACTGGCCGCCGTGGCTGAAATTCGGTCTGGAGGACATTATTATTATGAGGTAGCACCCACTCTAGCTCCCTTTCAGGTCGGTTAGTGGAACAATTGGTGGTGGCGGGCTTTGGTGTATGTAGATTTACAACGTGCTGTTTTTTCCCCTCCGGAAAGCGGGGGAGGGAGGCGGTGAATGCTCATAGCATACCACGCAGCCGGCTGCGAAACACTGCCTTAAGGGATTGGCTTACCGATCTGACTAGAGATCTTTAAGCCATAAACTGACGCGACCCTCTTTGGAAGAAAGGAGGGCGCAAGCGGCGAAAACCCGCTTAGAAATGTGCCTAACCAAGGCAGATTAAGAGATGTGTTAAGTAGGCTCGGCCTGAGCCGCCAGTAGGCAGTTCAGGTCAGCCGAAAGCTTGTTGGGGGGGGGGTGTTCCAAGAGAGAGTTACTCGGTCTGCGCACACTATAGCGAGTGTGGAGAGGGGCTGCATAAGCAACTGTCTCACGAATGAGATGATTTGGGTGGGACTCTGAGGCTTTGAAAAATCTCTCAGAGAGTGATTTAAGGAACTGCTGGATTGTTGGGAGCTCTAAGTCTCGGATATATATATATATATATAAATATAAAAAAAAAAAAAAAATATAATTTGAAAGAAAAAAATAGTCAAATCACAGATTAACAGAATAGAGGTAGTCAGCAGTCGCTCTAAGTGCGGATATCGAGCTTACGCGGCTGTTCGGAGCGCGTAGGTATATATATTTATAATTCAACTGTTGTTGGCCAGGCAGACATTGTTCTGGTTTTTCCGACGCGACGACCCTTGGTCCTTTAAAAACCCTTAAGTTCGCAATAAAAAATATGGAGGGATGACATTTGGTTATAACAACTTCTTCAACTCAGTGACGGCACTACATAGAAAAACTGTGTTTGGACTCATTTAAAAGGGCTCATAAAGACCCAGGTAACTAGGATAATCTCACATTCCTGAAGACGGACTCAATATCTGGGTAAAGGATCCCAGTTATACCACTACGTAGAACCATCGTTTTTAGACTCATTTAAATACCAAGGTGCCTGTGATGATCTCCCCTCTGAATGGTGGACTCCGAAGGTGAGTAAAGGATCTCAGTGACGGCACTAGATAGGATGATCGTGTTCGACCTCATTTGAAAGGCCTCTTAAAGACCTAGGTGACAGTTATGATCTCACCTTTCTAATGGTGCAATCTGAAGGTGTGTATATCTATTTTTAATTTATAGGAGTCACGCAATTTTATCTGTGACACTTCTAACACAAAAGAAACATAAGAAAAAATAACTAAATATAGTGTACCTATATGTGTTATGGTAACTTAATACAATTCGAAAAATTTATTATTTTATAAAACTCAACATATTTGATTATCAAACAAATCAAATTATTATTTTATTAATTCTAGACTTGTTTATTTTATCATTTTTGTACAATATTATGCTTACACTGACGAGAAATGCTGTTAATTATCGCGTTGGTGTACGTTGAATGTAGGTGTGGCAACGACTTAACGCGCTAATTTGACAATGGTATTTACAATGCCGTTTGCTGTTTGGCGATAACTCGAGTGGCGGTACATCAAAGAGATTAACGTACGAAATAACGCATTGCAGCGTCCACATTACGTTTGTTTCACTTACAGAAATCTAAATAATAAGACAATAGAAATGCCTTCTACTGTCTTAATATCGGGACGCGTGTCGCCAGGCGTAGCTCTCACACATAAACAAACAATAAATACTCTCAACTCATACTCAAATAATATCTTGTCGTGAAGCGACAGTTAAAAACTAAAGAACCTAACCTAACAACGAAACAACCAAAAAGAAAATAATTTATTTAAAATTAGTAAAGATATTTACAGTTTCTTTTATAAAATGTAAAGCCGCAATTAAAAACTATAGAACCTAACCTAACAACGAAACAACCAAAAAGAAAATAATTTATTTAAAAAATTGTAAAGATATTTACAGCTTTTTCTTTTATAAAAAAAAGGTATGAGGGTGATGATGGGCTGTAGTGATGATAGTGAATTACAATTTTTAAAAAAAATAAAAGTTAATAAAGATAAATGAGTACGGAAACAATGTATGTACTTGTACTTGGGCTATGCCTGTGGTAGATGCACAGCGCCTATTTTAGGTACACGCAGCGCTTGAAGTAGGCACACACAGCGACCAGAATGAGCACACACAACACCCGGAGTAGACACACACAGCGCCTGGAGTAGACACCGCTCTGATAGTCCACGCAGCGTCTGGAGTAGGTACACACAGCGTATTGAGCAGGTACACGCAGCACTTAGAGTAGGCACACACACACCGCTCGGAGTAAGCACACACAACGCCCGGAGTAGACACACACAGTGCCCGGAGTAGACACACACAGCGCCCGGAGCGCCAGAGACACGCAGCGTCTGGAGTAGGCACACGCAGCGCTTGAGACAAGCACGCTCAGCGGCCGAAGATAGCGCTGGCACTAATAGGTGAGGCGTAGGCGTGGCTAGGCGACGACTTCAGGAGAAGGCAGAGGCTTGCAAGATCCCGAGGCAGTGCGGATAAAGCCTTTAAGAGGTGCTTCTCGTATCAAAGCTGAAGTGAGAACCTCTATTGGCCGATTCTTCGGCTTTTATCCTTTTTGACGGATCTGGGATAAGAACGAGAAATTATTTGAAATTATTTAAATTAAAAGCAAATTTTTGTAAATGGCCAAGAAGAAAAGAGTATTTTTGAAGTAAAAACATCAGGCCGGTAACGATATTTGAATAAAAATTGCCATGACAACCAGATAAACAACGATGTCAAAACATGTCAAATTTTGGTTTTAGGCTCGTAATAGAGAAACGGCAAGATTTAAGTGAAAAATGAGATATTATTGATATAGGAAAAAAGGTAGCGCAACAGTGCGCACGAAGCCCGAAATTGCAGAGTTACGGAGAACTAAATAAAATACCGAAAAAGGTAGACTCCATTGACACCGATTTAAAAAGTGCTGATAACGTGAAAATACGATGTGAAAATGATTTGTTATTGTGTTCGTATGGTTTAAAAACGTTACAGGATCCTATGAAAATAAAGGTGATGCAAAATATCCAGTTTTGAGGCTAATGCAGAAAATCAAAAACAGAATGGAAAAATAAATTTAAAATAGTGTAAAATGATATGTAAGTAGCATAACACTACATTTTCCCCCCGACCCTGGAAAATTTTTGACTCAGCAAAAATTTTGATATGTACATTCTAAAATAAACCATAAAAACACAGCTTTGCAGCAACAGACATCACCAGGCAAAATCAGATATACCATCTCTTACATTCATCATCTGCATTCAGGTAAGGGTGGAGTTCACATTCAATGACTACCACTCTAAAAGTGTGTTTTCGAAAGGACATTAAGGCTTATTTAAGGAGTTGTCATCCGCTCCTGCGTGGAAAAAAAAAACATTTTGAAAGGACATCCAGGCTTATTTAAGGAGTTGGCATCCGCTCCTGAGTGAAGATAAAGTTAAAGAAATTAATCTTAAGCAAGCTTTAGTCGCTATGACTTAAGTAAAGGTTAAGAACGGCCAGAGCGGTAGGGCTCAAAGCCAGAGATGAGCAACATCACTAAAAGTACATTCAGGCTTATTTAAGGAGTTGTCATCCGCTCCTGAGTGAAGATAACGATAAAGAAATTAATCAGGTAGTAATTATACATATATACAAACATATATACAAATATACAAACATATATACAAATGTAGTGTCATGCAAAACGGTATTAGCTGGTTTCTCACATCTAATCTTCACTTCCTATTCGAGTT